TTCGTTCTATTCCCTGTTCCTCTAGAATTATGAGCTTTTATTAGTAGGGCTCACTCTGATTGTATATCATATTTTTATTATTTATATTGTATATACAATATATTATTTATAGCATATTCATTTGATAGGATTTGATATGTAACTGTATATACACATATCTGTATACCGATTTGCAGCTCTAGATAGATAGATATTGATACATAAAACCCCAAGAACAAACATTTACCATAGAGCAGCTCGCCAGAGTTTAGATGCATTGGTTTTATTTTTTAAAGCAGACCTCCGGTCAAAACTTTTATTTTCCTACGCAGTGTGCCCGCACTACATGGGTTAAGTGCTCGTTTTTGTCCAGGGGTTCAGGGAAAATCTGTACTTACCCATTCCTCCAATCCTTTGAAAAACCACGCTCCGATGTCCAGTGGACTGTTCCTGCCATCCTCACTTCCGGAGCTGGACTATGGGCATGATGACGTCAGGAACAGCCCATTCACAAGACCACTCGTGTGCAGGGGGGGGCAGAAGCAGCAGAAAACGGTCTTGTGCTCAGAGGATCAGCGAATTAGGTAAGTATATCTTTACTTTCCGAGCCCCTAGACAGAAACAAGCATTTATTTTAATAATTTTGACTGTAATTCTTCTTTAAGACTTTTTCTGTTATTTTTCTCCCTGTGATCCTATCAGTAATACATATATTATCCTGTCCTGGGGTGACAACATTCACTCACCGTACTGTATCTATGAAGTAGCATGTTGTCACCCTTTGCTGCTCTCCTGATTAAAATTACAAACTCCTCCCCTTCTCCTCATCTTTAGTACATACACAAAATATATTCTGGAGTTTGCATGTTCTCCCTGTGCTTCCATGGGTTTCCTTCCACACTCCAAAGTCATGCTAGTAGGTCAGTTGGCACCTGTCTAAATTGACCCATGTATGTATGAGAGATAGGGGTCTAAAACTGGCCCATAGGCATTTTTCTTTTAATTAATCAGCCAGCAGGCTGAACAAAAGCAAACCAATTTCTCCATCCACAAAAGCAAGGTGGATAAAGGAATCTCCCCCCCACTGAACAAATGTTTTCTGACAGCGGAACTCCTTGGTGTAAGGATACACTGATCAGCTGCTGTAGCCAATTGGCTGCAGATGCTGATCGACAAGTCTTCTAACATTCCTATTCGACAGAAACCAATCTAATGATCGACATCTGTTGAACAGCGATGGCCATACATGGATCAAAATTCGGTCGGTCCCTGCTAAACCATTGATCCATGTATGGCCAGCTTTAGACTGTAAGCTCCTTGAGGGCAGGGACTGATGTGAATGTACAGTATGTAAAGCACTGCGTAACTTATCGGAATTATATAAATACTTGTCATTAATAATAATAATAATACAAAAAAGCCCACAAAAGAGAACGGATGGCTGATATATAGTATGTATATAGATATAGTAGTTAATACTTCAGTTTAGTGCAGAGGAAGTTACAAGGATACTGAATTTCTAGCAGGATTAACAGGTATTCTCTGTATTTAAAAAAAAATTGCACTTAACTCGAAAAAAAATGAAGCCAACATGTCTAAAGACTAGGAAGCCCAAATATGTTACAATTTTCTTCTTGGGATTAGATATACTTTAAGAGCTTATAAAAAGCAACTGCATATCAGTGAGGCATACAGTTGGGGAGATTTACTAAAACTGGAGTTCTCAGAATCTGGTGCGGCTCTGCATGGTAGCCAATCAGATTCTAACTTCAGCTTGTCCAATTAAGCTTTGATAATAAAAAAAAACCTGGAAGTTGATTGGTTTCTATGCAGAGCTGCACCAGATTTAGGTGGTTCGAATCTCTGCTGGGTCAGCAGGGACCAGCTGGGATTTCAAGCATGGATAGGCAGACTGAATATAAAAAGGTTGATCAATCGATCAGCTTTGGTACAACCGGCTAGCAGTAATCACTGTCTTCTCCCTGCAAGGGAACCCCCCCTCCCTACCTGCTGGTGGGAACACAATGGCTCAGCAGGAGGGATTCCCCCAGCAACACTAACTGTGATGATGGGGGAATGGAGTGATTTTCTTTGCAGGAAAGAAAATTGCTCCATCAATGGCCAGCTTTACAGGTGTTGCCACTACTATCTCCTTATGGGGGTAAAACAATAAATACTGAACTACATACAGTATGGCTTGCCCTCCCCCCAGGCCTTTTCTATTATTTCAGGATATCAGATTACAAACTCTAAGGAGCTGAATAATCATGCCTTTTGTATCCACTCCTGTTTTGTTAATAATAATGGAAGGTACTGTATACCCTGCTGTGAATGCTTACATGATCTGATTGCGCAACCTAAATAAAGGGTAGTGATAATAAAACAGGAATTTCAGCAGATTCTGACACTTGTGTCCCTGTAGTGGCAACGTTGGGAATTCCAGATAAAACTCCAGACACGAATTTGTGGAAAACAAACTTTTTAATTACCAGCTAGGACTTAGCTAGACCAGTGTCTGTAAGCTAAGTGCCTTGAAAAACATCTTACAGAGTATACATATCAGCAATTACGTCACAATGCATATATTTCCTCTTTCACTTTCTGTACATTGTTAAAAGACTTTCTAAGCAGTTCAGGTTATACTGTGGCCTTGTGTTTTCATATTTAGATTAACTATCTTCAGCTGAAAATAAAGGTGCCAGCTGCAGACTGGAACATATCATTCCACAGGAAATAAGGGAGGGGGGATGTGAGCTGATGACCTTGCTTTGCAAACAGATGCTGTTAGAAATGTTAAAGCCTAAAGGGGAACTCTGCAATATTTGGGTGCTGCCACATCTCAAGGATATCTTTTGGCAAGAATAATCGGGTTGATTTACTAAAACTGGAGAGTGCAAAACCTGGTGCAGCTGTGCATGGTAGCCAATCACCTTCTAACTCCAGCTTGTTCAATTACGTTTGACCTGGAAGCTGATTGGTTTCTACGCAGAGCTGCGCCAGATTTTGCTCTCTCCGGTTTTAGTAAATCAGCCCCTGTGTGTCTGACATTTAAAAGAGCTCAAGTTGAAAGTGTTGTCTAGTGCATATCTGTACCAAAGCACATCTAAACCCAAGAATATCAATTTAATATATATAGCAGATTACCAGTTCTTACATACATCGGCTGCATTTCTTTTCTTTATTTTTTCACGCTAAGTGCAGAAAAACATTTGTTGATCCTTGTAACTTCTTTTCTTAAGCACTGAACTGATATCTCAATGTTCTCAGCTTTCCATTGATCTGTAAGCTACACATTCCTTCCTCCTTATGTAACAGGTGTGTGTGTGTGTGTGGGGGGGGGGGGGGGGGGGTGTTAAAAAGATTTTAAAAAGAAAACAAAAAACAGCCACCACATTTCAGGATTGGTAAGCTGTAATATTTATTTTTTAGGTTTAGATACACTCTTATATTGAGGTGAGACATTTAAATATGCATGCAATGCTCAGATTAACCAAGTATGTGTGCTTCAGTGTGTAAATATATGTACAAAATAAAATATAACCTTTGAAAGTGGTTACATTTATTTTTTTATCTAAGTATAAAAAATGCACGTTGATTCTTCCAGAAATCGTTAGCTTTGCTCTCTTCCTATGACACATTCATAGATACAGTGCAATGAAAGATTGTTATCACCGTAAGACTGGAAGATATATGTGGACTACAGAACCCCTCCCCTTGATGTTATGAAATAGAGTAGAGGGAAGGATTTTTGCAGTCCAGTACTAGTGTTACCATGCTGCTTCTCCTTAGATATGGAGTTTTATGTCCCTAAGACAGGAAGTTTTCTCTGTGGACTACAGAACCTCTCCCCTCTATGTTATGGAATAGAGTAGAGGGAAGAATTTTTGCAGTCCTGTCCTAGGAGTACCCTGCTGCTCCTTTTTAGATACAGTGTAATGGAGAGTGTTATCACCCTAAGACAGGAAGGATTTTTGCAGTCCAGTCCTAGTGTTACCATGTTGCTTCTCCATAGATATGGTGCGATGAGTGAGCGTTATCGCCTAAAACAGAAAGTTCTCTCCAAACTACAAAACCCCTCCCCTCGCTGTTATGGAATATAGCAGAATGAAAGATTTTTGCAGTTCGGTCCTAGTGTTACCATGCTGCATCTCCATAGATATGGTGCAATGAAAGAGTGTTATTGCCTAAAACAGGGAGTTATCTCTGCGAACTACACAACCCCTCCCCTCCATGTTATGGAATAGAGTAGAGGGAAGGATTTTTGCAGTCCAGTAGTAGAGTTACCATGCTGCTTCTCCATAGAGATGGTGCAATGTGTGAGCGTTATGTCCCTAAGACAGGAAGTTTTCTCTGTGGACTACAGAACCCCTCCCCTTGATGTAATGGAAGACAGTAGAGGGAAGGATTTTTGCAGTCTGGTACTAGAGTTACCATGCTGCTTCTCCTTAGATATGGTGCAATGAGTGAGCGTTATGTCCCTAAGACAGGAGGTTTTCTCTGTGAACTACAGAACCCCTCCCCTCTATGTTATAGAATAGAGTAGAGGGAAGGATTTTTGCAGTCCTGTCCTAGGGGTACCCTGCTGCTCCTCCTTAGATACAGTGCAGTGAAGGAGTGTTATCACCCTAAGACAGGAAGGCTTTTTGCAGCCCGGTCCTAGTGTTACCATGTTGCTTCTCCATAGACATGATGCAATGAGTGTTATCACACTAAGACAGGAAGTATTTTACTGGAAGGAACTCCAAGTGGCAATAAAGTAAAAAAGCCTAAACAATGAAATGAATGCATATCCAAGTACTGATGGTGGTTAGACATGCTTCCCGTCCACCAGAGCACACTATATGACACAACACATTTTATTGACAATGCAAATGTTTAGGATAAATGGCAAAATATTGAGTACAGCATCTTGTCCATTCCCATTAGGAGGATGATCTGTATTAGTGAAGGAACACAAGCAACATTCCCTGCTAATGAGAACTTTTCCCTTTTTCCTCGGTAGGTCAGGATGGCAGAGATGAGCAGCCTTCATCTGAATACCCCTCTCAGAGACAGCGTGCCATTGTCCAAACTTTCTGGCAGCAAAGTCTATCTAAAACTTGATAATGCTCAGCCAACAGGTTCTTTCAAGATTCGTGGCATCGGACATCTGTGCAAGACGGTTAGTAAACAGCCAATTAATGCAAAACTTCAAAGCAGTCTGATATTCCTTAAACAAAATACTAAATTAGGAAGAATGACTTCAATATGCCCCCCAACGTGTGATGGCAAACCTACTGAAAGAAGAGGCAGAGGGGGTTATTTACTAAAACTGGAGCATGCAAAATCTGGTGCAGCTCTACATGGGAACCAATCAGCGTCAAGGTTTTGTTTTGTCGAAGCTTAAAGTGTTACTAAACCCAGGACCCTGCATTCACTATATCTGGTCTCCCCCAGTACACACAACATGGAAGTGCAATTATTTTACTAAATATACATTGTTAAATACCTTTTCTCACCAGAAGTTATTGCAGTCTTGTGACTTCTATCAGTGTCCAGCAGAGCACTGGTTAAAGCTTGTAGGAGGAATTTTCATTCTGCTCTAGGAGGATGCAGAACCCCTGACCTCTGTCTGGACAGTGCTGATTGGTTCTGTGCTGATCACATGCACTCTCACAGGAGCCTGCATTCACTATATCTGCCCTCCCACAGTACACACAACATGGAAATGCAATTATTTTAGTAAATATAAACTGCTAAATACCTCTTCTCATCAGCAGTTAGAGCAGTCTTGTAACTTCTATCAGTGTCCAGCAGAGCACTGGTTAAAGCTTGTAGGAGGAGTTTTCATTCTGCTCTAGGAGGATGCAGAACCCCTGACCTCTGTCTGGACAATGCTGATTGCCCCTGTGCTGATCACATGCACTTTCCCAAGAAAAAAAAAAATACACACCAAACTGAGCATGTGCAGAGTGTCTCCACATGATATGTCTTTCATGAGATAAGAGGGGGACTTTGGAAGAAAGGGAAGATCAGAGAAGTCAGGATCAAACAGCATTTTTACACAATGCAGAGGATTAATAATTAACCCCTTAGGTTCCACAGTGAGTATAACAAGCATGTTTTACTGCATCTACAGACTGATTTTACTGTTGTGGGTTTAATAACATTTTAAATTAACAAACTGAAGTTAGAAACTGATTGGCTACCGTGGACAGCTGCACCAGATTCTGAGAGCAAATCTCCCCCAATGACCCTAATTTACTTCAATTAGAAGTAGAACATGTTCACTTTCAAAGTGGATTTTCACTTTGCAAAATTATTTTTCACTTATTACTATTTATTGCAGGTACTATAATACATAGTGCCATCAATTTACATATATATTGTACCTTCACTTCAGTCCCTAACCCTCAAGGGGTGTACAATCTAAAGTCCCTAACTTACATTTATACATACACATACTAGGGCCAATTTATACAGGAGCCAATTAACCTACCAGCATGTCTTTGGAATGTGGGAGGAAACTGGATTACCTAGAGGAAACCCACGCAGGCACAGGGAGAACATGCAAACTCCAGGCAGGTGATGCCGTGGTTGGGATTGAAACCAATGACCCCAGTACTGCCAGGTGGAAGCGCTAACCATTTAGCCATTGTGCTACACAAAGTGAATGAGTTGAAACAGTAAAAGTTCACTTTGCAAAGAATATCAAGTTGTGTGCAAGGAAAATTTAAAAAGGGATTTTTGCTTGCAGATGATTAGCATTAATCCACCTAATTCATGAAGCTGTGAGTGAATTTTCTCTTTGCAATGTGAATTTTTAGAGCTCATGCTCAAGGACACATTCAGATGTACATCACCAGAATTCAGTGCGTTTCTGTGCCTGGGAGTCACATCCACAGCAGCAACCCGTACAAATCAATGACAGGCTGACAGATGCTGTGGCTGTATGTCTGTTACTGAGTGGTTACACTCAGGGAAAGGATGAATGGCCCAGGACATAAACTACCAGTAGCCAATCGGATGTGTGATTACAGCCACAGCTTTTGTCAGCCTGTCATTGATTTGTATGGGCTGCTTGCCATGGCTGTATGCCAACACTTGTGACTCCCAGGTGCAGAAACTGCAAATTCTGGAGGTAAATTCTGGAGGTATATGCCCAAATGCATCTGCATGCTTGAACCCTTGCTTACTTCAAAAATACTGTAGCTGCTGACTTTTGAAAAAAGGACACTTACCTGTCCAGGGATCCCACGCTGTACTCGACCGGGCCAGTTCTTTTTATTTCATTCACTACACTATGATAAGTGAAAATTTAACATCTGGGTATCTGCAGTGGAGATGAAACAGTATGACAACGTAAAAAGACAAGATAATACGTTTTATAAATAAAAAGAACAAATGGGAATCAGATGAAATTTTCCAAATGGGCCATTTCAATTTTAGTCCAGCTGAAATATCCTCACATTATAGCTGGCCATACACAAGTAGAATTTCATTCAAAATTTTTAATTTTAAAAAAGTTCCTTTAATTTTCTAATTGCTAGTAGGGACAAATGGGTATTCATTTTCGACCAGTTACAAAAAAAAAGTTATGAGAGCAGAAGGGAATTTTTTGCTCAAATGTATTTCTAACAGTTAATGTGGTTTTCGTTTGGGAAAGGCCCTTCATTCCAAAATGTTAAAAGCAAAAATTTTGAAGAACTTTCAAACGACATTGGTCAAGCCGTTGAATGTACTGAAATTTTAATATGAATGTTCAAATGACTATTTATATGAATGTTTGTTCAAAAATCTATTAGTGTGTCCAGCCTCTTTATACCAATTTATGTGGTTGTAAACCCTTTCATGCAGCATACCCAGTGAAGTGACTGGCCTCAGGTGAAACACAGAGATGAAACAAATCCTCCTACATAAGTTGTACCTGTTTATCTATAGTCTTCTCTTTTCTACAGCAATTCAAAGTCCAGAATTTATAAAGCTTATCTTAGCTTTCAGAAAATGGGGGGGGGGGGGGGGGGGGGGGGGGGGGGGGGGGGGGGGGGGGGGGGGAGCTGAAATTACACGCTGCAGAGCTCAGTGAAAAGATTTAGAAGAACTGATTGGAGAGAACTTCTCAGGGAAGGCACACACCCCACTTCACACAACTCACAGAAACAGAGCTGAGGCTGTCAACTACAGGTCTATGAGACATTTTATGTGTTGGGGTTCATAATGAATGCAATAACAAAGGACCTTTTTGTAATGATTGCACTGAGACATTCCCCTGCTCCTGATGAGTTATTATTGATATTTGATTTACCTGATTATGCTAAATAGTTTAAATCACGGGTGTCAAACTGGCGGCCCTCCAGCTATTCAAACTACAAGTTCCATGATGCATTGCAAGACTGACAGTTACAAGCATGACTCCCAAAGGCAGAGGCATGATGGGACTTGTAGTTTCGCAACAGCTGGAAGGCCACCAGTTTGACACCCCTGGTTTATATAGTCAATATTTACAATGATTGAAGACCAGGTATGTTCAGAAACAAGATCGGAACAATGTAAAAAGGGTAGAACCGCTGAGCAACCAATCAGCTTTTAGCTTTGCATTGTGCTGACTGATGTGGGGTAAACATTGTTTGCTATGCACTATTGTATTTGCAAATCATCATTGCACTTTGCACTTCTGAAATGTATATCATACTATTTAATATGTCTGATAGTGATGAACATTGTCTTCTCTGAACCTCAATATTGTATATATTGCAATAAGAAATAATCATTATTTAATGTCTTCTCTTCTCTTAGTGGGCAGAACGTGGCTGTACTCATTTTGTGTGCTCCTCAGGTGAGTTTCTTAGTTGAAGTCTTGTTTCTATAGTCAAATATTAATCTGGTACTGTACAATCCAGATATACTCCGTCTACAGCATAGCACTGTTATCAAAGAAATGACTGAACAGCCAGCTTTTCCCAGGGTCTTCTTAGGCCATTGCATGCAGGGACATCACAGTAATGTGGTGATCATTTTTATAATTTTGTTGTAAGTTTTTCTATTAAAGTGAATGCTAATCTAAAGCTTAAATGATAATTTCACCTTTTTAACAAAAATAATAAATGCACATTTTTTTGCAGGTCAAAAAATGTACATTTATTATTTTTCGTCCAAAGGAACCTTGAAAGCAATGAACCAGCGATCAGTAGATCACTGTTGCCATGCATGTCTCCTGCAGACCTCTAGTCTCATAATGGCATTCAGTTCCGCTACCCATTCCCTTATAGTGGGGGGGTCTGAGATTTCTAATGTCTGGGTATCAACGTCTGGACAGCTAGAAGGAGAAAACGTAGACTTTTTTTAAGATTGAGCCTGGGATAATAGACAGGACGGTGACCTCCAGAGTCTCTGGCCAAGTGCGACCTGTGAAACATTTTTGTTTTTGATAGAGTAGGCAATGGTTAGGACCTTTGTTTTTTATTGCTATCACTGTCCCCATAGGAAAGCTCTTCCATCCGTTTCTGTTCTAATGATTGGTGCCACCTAGGACATGAAAATTTAATACAGACAGCAGTAAAATACTTTTTTTTTTTTTTTCTTTCTATAATGTGAGAAAGTATCACAATCTCTGATAGGAAATACACTGCATTGCCAAAGGTATTGGGACACCTGCCTTTACACACACATGAACTTTAATGGCATCCCAGTCTTAGTCCATAGGGTTCCATATTGAGTTGGCCCGCCCTTTGCAGCTTTAACAGCTTTAACTCTTATGGGAAGGCTGTCCACAAGGTGTAGGAGTGTCTATGGGAATGTTTGACCATTCTTCCAGATGTGCATTTGTGAGGTCAGGCCCTGATGTTGGATGAGAAGGCCTGGCTCCCAGTCTCTGCTCTAATTCATCCCAAAGATGTTCTATCAGGTTGACATGAAGGCCAGTCAAATTCCTCCACTCCAAACTCGCTCATCCATGTCTTTTATAGACCTTGCTCCGATGTTGAACGAGAAGGCCTGGGTCGCAGTCTCCACTCTAATTCATCCCAAAGATGTTCTATCAGGTTGATGTGGAGGCCAGTCAAATTCCTCCACTCAGAATATCAGCTTGCCCTACGGGATGTATGAGCAAGCAAATATACTGACAGAAAGCTTCAATGAACTACCACAGTGCCGTGGCAGTGCTTTGAAAACTACAAGCCCACAGCCGCTAAGGCCGGAACTTGTAGGCACTCATTCACTGTGAATAAGTGACGTAACCGTGTGGTACTTTCCCGTAATATCTGACAGATGGTACAGGGAAACTTTTCCCTGTGCTATCTGTCAAAGGGAGGGGAGGCTGCGGCTATGGGAGCTTGCTACATGTTCCACCCTAAAAAGGGGTGGAACATGTAACATGTTCCAAAGGTGAACTTTTCCTTTAAAAAATAAAATTCTTCTTCATTCTGCTGTGTTATAAGCTTCAGTAATGGTAAAGCAGCTCAACACTTTTTTTTTTCTCTTTTTAAGTTTTATTTAATTTTTAGTTTTAAAACAGGAAGAGACAGAATTACAGTGTGCATAGATCCCAACCAGATCAACATCCATAGTACTATGACACAATGCATATTCCTTGACACATCATGCAATGGATAGGTGGTCATATTTCTACATTCTCCAACAGAAGGTTGGAAAGAATCCACAGCTCTGACAAACTGCATGCTCAACAAGTTGCTAGATAGTATTAGAAAAAAAATAACCACTGACAGTATAAAACACTGTGTCCAGAACAGCTATAAGAATCCCTCTTTCATAATCCACTGTAAATAGGGCAGGGGTCAATCAAAATTGTAGGTGTACACTGCATAGACAAAGAAGGGGGGAAGAAGAATCCAGGGGAGATATAGAAGAAGCTAAGCAAATGGAGAGAGAGTGGAGAACAAAGAAGGAAAAAAAAAAAGAGGACACCCAGCCAGCCAGCCAATCGATCACACTATTTCAATCATCTTGAAAGAGTGCCATGACTATTACAGGAAGGCTAGTATTTAGGGGAATTTGATCCAAGCATGCCATGACATCATGAATTTAGTGTGATTTTCATGTACACAAGCCATTGACTGAGATTTCCAATGTCTGGGTTTCAACGTCCGGACAGCTAAAAGGAGAAAACGTAGACTTTTTTCATTTTCGAGATTGAGCCTGGGATAATAGACAGGAGGGTGACCTCCAGAGTCTTTGGCCAAGTCTGTCCTGTGAAATACACTGTATTGCCAAAAGTATCGGGACGCCTGCCTGTACACACACAGGAACTTTAATGGCATCCCAGTCTTAGTCCGTAGGGTTCAATATTGAGTTGGCCCACCCTTTGCAGCTATAACAGCATCAACTCTTCTGGGAAGGCTGTCCACAAGGTATAGTAGTGTATCTATGGGAATGTTTGACCAGTTTTACAGGTGCGCATTTGTGAGGTCAGGCACTGATGTTGAACGAGAAGGCCTGGCTCACTGTCTCTGCTCTAATTCATCCCAAAGGTGTTCTATCAGGTTGACATGCAGGCCAGTCAAGTTTCTCCACCCCAAACTTGCTCATCCATGTCTTTATGGACCTTGCTTTGTGCACTGGTGAGCAGTCATGTTGGAACAGGAAGGGGCCATCCCCAAACTGTTCCCACAAAGTTGAGAGCATGAAATGGTCCAAAATGTCTTGGTATGCTGATGCCTTAAGAGTTCTCTTCACTGGAACTAAGAGGCTAAGCCCAACCCCCTGAAAAACAACCCCACACCATAACCCCCCCTCCCCTCCACCAAACTTTACACTTGGTACAATGCAGTCAGGCAAGTACCATTCTCCTGGCAATTGCCAAACCCAGGAATGTTCATCTGATTGCCAGACAGAGTAGTGTGATTTGTCACTCCAGAGAACCCATCTCCACTGCTCTAGAGTCCAGCGGCGGTGTTCTTTACACCACTGCATCTGATGCTTTGCATTGCACTTTGTGATGTAAGGTTTGGACTTTGGATGCAGCAGCTTGGCCATGGTTACCCATTCCATGAAGCTCTCTATGCACTGTTGTGCTAATCTGAAGGCCATATGAAGTTTGGAGGTCTTTAGCTATTGATTCTGTTGACAGTTGGCGACTTCTGCGCACTGTGCGCTTCACCATGCACTGACCCCCCTGTCATTTTATGTCAAAAATGGCATATGCATATATTCCTGTGCTGGAAGATGGACTCTACAGAGGCTAGAACCACATGTGGGATGCCTTAAACAGTGCATGCCTTGCTGCCCTCAACGGATCAAGGAAATCCAAATGTATGGCATGCAAAAGGATAACCTCAAATTAAGAATTTATTTTATAAAAAAAGTGGTAATATACTCAAAAAGGATAACAGTGTCAAGGGCACATCATATAAAATACAGCACTGAATGATATCTGTGAGGGGATTTTTAGACCTCCAACCAGCTGATGCGTTTTGAGGACTTGCCTCTTTCTCAGAGCCAGTACCAAAATGGTATATCATTCAGTGAGACTGGACCTAGTTGTATTTTATATGATGTGCCCTTGACACTGGTATCCTTTGTGAGTATATTACCACTTCTTTTATATAATAAATGTTTTTTTGAGGTAATGCACTAAGCCCATGCGCCCTCTGTTTGTTTTTCTTTTGCATACTGTCATTTTATGTGGCGTACCACTTTGTGGCCTAGTTGCTGTTGTTTCCAGTTACTTTCACTTTGTTAAGTGGAATATTTAGTAGCAAGGAAATTTCATGGATGGACTTATTGCACAGGTGGCAACCTATCACGGTACCATGCTTGAATTCACTGAGCTCCTGAGAGCGACCCATTCTTTCACAAATGTTTGGAGAAGTAGTCTACATGCCTAGATGCTTGATTTTATACACCTGTGGCCATGGAGGTGATTGGATCAATCCAATGATTTGGAGGGGTGTCCCAATACTTTTGGCAATATAGTGTAATTTCTTTATTTGGCCCCCATATATAGCTTTATTCTCCATGCTACTAGTACTGCCTGGAAAAGGAAGCGGTTTAAGCTCTCCTTGAATGGGAGATAAACAGCATTAAAAACCTGAAAGAGGTTCTTATCCTTCCACATGCTATCCAAAACTAACAAAAAGTTATGGATTTATGTCTGCTTTAACATCACTATAGAGCTTAAAACAAAGTGGAACATCGAATTTAATTTTTTAAGCCATAAAAGAATAGTTTGTTTTAGATATGTTCCTCAGTACATTGATTACAGCATACTAGATATGCATCAAGCTTTTTCTATTAACAACAGTTTGTTATTACAGGTGGTAATGCTGGCCTGGCAGCTGCTTACAGTGCCCGCATGCTGTCAATTCCTGCCACCATCCTTGTCCCTACCACTACTCCAGCCTTTACCATTCAGAGGGTTAAGGATGAAGGAGCAACAGTATGCGTAGTGGGTGAGGTAAGCTTACTCTAAAGTTGGCCATACAGTAGCTACAGTACTTGCACTTACAAACAGAGGGGATGGGCATGGAGTGTTTATTATAGACAGTATATAGGTGCAGCGCTATGAATAATATAGACATGTAATAAATCAATGACAATAATCAGCGTGCAATAGCGTGGTGATTAAAGTAATACAAGGTATATGGTATAACGTCCAAATAAAACCAGTGTGATAAGAAGATCCTGTAGAATCCCAGTTTGTAGTGGGAATATGTGATCCAGAGGTGATAGATAATGAAATAGAATGCGCACTCACCAGAAGTGCGTATTAAATACGCCTTAGGAAAATCATCCGTCTTATCTGGCACGTGAAGGTCCTTCTATATTCCGAACAAGCTGCATTCACTACCAACTATCTGGTCATAGGACAGGATCCTGGGGTTCAACTTTTCCTTATTCATTCACAGCATCATCAAGTCACCTTTACGGGCAGGCACTGCAGAGGATGGCGCTCCCAGAGAGAGCCCAATAAGGGACATCACATAGTGTGATACTGTTTAAGGAACTTTATTGATGTAAATCAGATAAGAAAAGACAGATACTGACCAAAAATTTAGGATGGCCCCCAGCGGTGGCTAGAGCTACAGAAGCTGTAGCCCTCTGACACGTTTCGTGCTAAGCACGTATTCATAGGGTGCAGGTAAGCCCTGCACCCTATGAATACGTGCTTAGCACGAAACGCGTCAAGGGGCTACAGCTTCTGGACATCTAGCCACCGCTGGTGGCCATCCTAAATTTTTGGTTAGTATCTGTCTTTTCTTATCTGATTTACATCAATAAAGTTCCTTAAACAGTATCACACTATGTGATGTCCTTTATTGGGCTCTCTCTGGGAGCACCATCCTCTGCAGTGCCTGCCCGTAAAGGTGACTTGATGATGCTGTGAATGAATAAGGAAAAGTTGAACCCCAGGATCCTGTCCTATGACCAGATAGTTGGTAGTGAATGCAGCTTGTTCGGAATATAGAAGAACCTTCACGTGCCAGATAAGACGGATGATTTTCCTAAGGCGTATTTAATATGCACTTCTGGTGAGTGCTCATTCTATTTCATTATCTATCACCTCTGGATCACATATTCCCACTACAAACTGGGATTCTACAGGATCTTCTTATCACATGGTTTTATTTGGACGTTATACCATATACCTTGTATTACTTTAATCACCACGCTATTGCACGCTGATTATTGTCATTGGTTTATTACATGTCTATATTATTCATAGCGCTGCACCTATATACTGTCTATATTTTTCTGGAAGGTGTATTGGTTACCTTTTTCTGGTGTTCCAGCTGCTTTTCTGTCATATCATTAACAGTTTTTAAGGTAGCGCTTGCTAGATAATCTATTACACATGGAGTGTTTATTGCTGTGGCCTTTGGGAGACTGCCATCAACACAGCAAGGGATTTATCAGAATTTAAAGTTTACGTCAATATTCTGTTTATTCCCAATTATAAAGAACTCCTAATGGGCACCAAAGTGTGCACAGTGTGTGCATGCTGGGGGAACAATGACAGTTTGATCACTTGATTCTGGGAAAAGGGAGGACACATCAACTTTTACATCCTAGTGCAAATAATGAAAATTCACATAAAAGGTCAAATAAAAAAACAAGACAGTAACATGCAATTATTTGCACTTGTCAAAAGCAAAAAAAAAAAAAAAAATGCGTATAATCTGGTTACATAATTTGTAAAACAGTTACACTTTATATCTTATTCTATGACAAAACTCTTTTTTTATCAGTTGTATTTAACGAGTTAGATTTAGGCTCCTCAAACAGTCCCAACATTCATGAAGGCCAACACAAATATTAGTTTTAACTGTGGTAATTAAGGAAGGAAATAACTAAAATCATTGTTTCGGTTTTGGAACAGACTAATGTGTAGTTCAGAAGTATTTTTCCTGGATCAGGGGTGACGATAGAAATAAATAATTGTTCAATCAGGAGGACTTTCCCAATCTGTTGGGCCCCTATATAAGGCAAAAACACTTAGTGCACCCATAACATGTATTCCTGGCTCTTATGGGAGGTCATGTTTGTGCACTGATAATTTTCACAATATATTGTTCATGAGTCAGATATTTTTATGAGGATTTCTACGAGCACCCTAATACATTAGATATGACAGTCAAAACCACCAGCACTTGGAATGTTCACCACTATTCGGAGCCTGTGAACCATTGGACAGAACTCACTGGTGGGATTTACTAAAACTGGAGCACTCAGAATCTGGTGCAGCTGTGCATGGGAGCCAATCAGCTTCAAACTTCAACTTGTTCTCTCAAGCTTTGACCGAAAAAAAATCTGGAAGCTATTAGGTTTCTATGCAGAGTTGCACCAGATTTTGCACTCTCCAGTTTTAGTAAATCCCCCCCATTGTGTAAATTAAACTAACTGAATTGCCCAGCTATTTGCACAGTGCAGTGTTTTGAAGGTTCTGACCACATGGTCCTTTTACTTTCCCACAAATACATAAATGAAGGGTAAAAAGGAATATATAATTGGGTTAATTTACTAAAACTGATGAGCGCAATATCGGATGCAGCTGTGCATGGTAGCCAATCAGCTTCTAACTTCAGGTTATCAATTAAAATGTTACTAAACCCATGATCCTGCATTCACTATATCTGGTCTCCCACAGTACACAGAACATGTAATGCAATTATTTTAGTAAGTATAAATTGCTAAATACCTTTTCTCATCAGCAGTTAGAGCAGTCTTGTGACTTCTATCAGTGTCCAGGAGAGCACTGGTTAAAGCTTGTAGGAGGAGTTTTCATTCTCCCCTGATTGTCCTATGAGGCTGCAGCACCCATGGCTCTCTGTCTGGACAGCACTGATTGGCCTTGTACTGATCACATGCACATTCTCTATCAATACCAAACTGAGAATGTACAGCTTGCCCCCCAAGGCTTTGTTCTATCAGCAGATGGATTGAAGACTGTGGAAGAAGGGGAATATCAGAAAAGACAGGATCAAACACTGTTTTTACACAATGCAGAGGACTAACACATTAGGTTTCACAGCCAGTTAAACAAGCATGCTTTACTGCATATACAGACTGATTTTTACAGTTGTGGGTTTAGTAACACTTTAAGCTGTGACAATAAAACCTGGAAGCTGATTGGGGTTGAATTACTAAAACTGGAGAGTGCAAAATCTGTTTCAGCTGTACATAAAGAACAATCAGCTTCCAGGTTTTATTTAAAGTAACACAAAAAATGGCCTGGTCCAGAATCCTCTGGAGGGCAAGTGGTTAATGGGTCATATTAGGCCCTCTGGCCACTAATTAAGCACCATGGACCTTTATAGCCCTGGCTGTTTGTTAACCGTGTATGTATTTTTTATGAATACATAAAGCTTTTACACATTATCAAGGCATCTAAATTACAAAAGGTACATCTTAGATTGTAAGCTCCAAGGAGCAGGGCCCTCCTAACCCTCTTGTATTGAACTGTATTGTTGCTGTATTGTCTCCTTTTATATTGTAAAGCGCTGAGCAAACTGTTGGCGCTATATAAATCCTGTATAATAATACTCCTAGATTGTAAGCTCCAAGGAGCAGAGCCCTCCTATCCCTCTTGTATTGAACTGTATTGTTACTGTATTGTCTCCCATTATATTGTAAAGCGCTGAGCAAACTGTTGGCGCTATATAAATCCTGTGTAATAATATAATAATTGTCTCCGCTTTAACTTGCAGATGCTGGATGAGACGATTGAGCATGCTAAAGAGTTGGTGAATAATAACCCAGGATGGGTGTATATCCCCCCATTTGATGATCCTTTAATATGGTAAAACTATTTTCTTATAACATCATCTGTAATAAACAGTAACATTATAGATTGATTATACAGATTTGATCTAGGAGGAACTGATGTATGTAAATGATAAGGAAGACCACTTAGTTGGAACATTTCTTAAACCACTGATAACAATTCTTGGGATCTTGATGTTCTTATTGTAACAGGATTTCTTTCAAAGTATCTATGACTTACGATTTAGTAGAATTTTTGTGTCTTACATCTTGGCTTGTATGTGGTGCTTAAGGACTATAGTAATGCAGCCAGAGGAGCAGTAACTCAGATTTCAGTTTATAGTAAGAAAACAAGTGAACATGTTTTTTATTTGTTGGGTTAGTGTTCTGTGCATATCATTGTTGTCCTTTACGCTGGTTTACTGTATAGACCCTAAGAAACTGGATGATGGTTGTGAGAAAAAGAGGGATGTTCTAGAAATGGCTCATAAATATGTGAGGTAGTGGGAGGCTGATAAACATTAAAGGAAAATTCTGCTGAAATGTGTAAACTGCCATTCCTGTCTTCTCCTATGATATATTTATATTTCAGGTACTTATACAGCACTGTCAATTTACGCAGCGCTTTACACATATATATATTGAACATTCACATCAGTCCCGAACCCTCAAGGGGGCGTACAATCTAAGGTCCCTAACTTACATTCATACATACATATATTAGGGCCAATTTAGACAGGATCCAATTAACCTACCAGCATGTCTTTGGAATGTGGCAGGAAACCGGAGCACCCGGAGGAAACCCACGCAAGCACAGTGAGAATATGCAAACTCCATGCAGGAGGTGCCATGGTTGGGAATCAAAAACCATGACCCATTTACTGCAAGGCAAATGTGCTAACCACTAAGCCACTGTGCTGCCCACTATGATGAAGCTAGTTACCTCTAGTTCTTTACGTCAGTAGACCCAGAAAGCACCAGCTGTAGAGAAAGAACACCTGATCTGTGCACGGGTTCTTGATTGTGACTTAGAAAGTACAAAACTGGATCAGAATGACAGCCAAGAAACTAAGGTTCAAACAGAACATTCCAAGTGCTCAAGGGATATTTCAGAGGTACATCAAAACACAAAGAAATAGATAAAAAGATTCTCATTGTACATATCAAAAACTAAAACTACTTTACATCAAGTAACCTTTAAAAACACAAACGGATTCACTATGGACAATTCATAATTATATTATACAGGTTTTTTATAATGCCAACAATTTGCGCAGCGCTTTACAAAATGAAGGTAGACATAACAGTTACAATACAATTTGGTACAAGAGGAAACAGAGGGCCCTGCTTGTTAGACCTTACAATCTAGGAGATTGTGTTTGTAAATCTGGATCAAAGACACTCATTTTGAGTTTTCACAAAATGCCAGTTGAATATACAAACTAGAGAACATCATGGAACTCTACGCGTTTCGTGAACTTTTATGTTCACAATTTAGATATGAAAAGCAGATACTGTACTTTCCACAATAATTGTTCTATGTAAATCAGAGCAAATAAATATTAACTGCATCTGTTATCTTTGCTTTTTGGTACAGAGAATGTACTACTGAAAATACTTTTTTGTGATTTGTGAATTCTCTCTCAGGTACCCAGAAAGCTCCTGATCCCTGATACATAATGAAACATAGTGGTTGTTTTACTAAAAGAAAATAAACTGTTCACTTTGCAAGAGAATTTTCTCCAGTGCTTAGTGAATAAGGGGAAGCTCTGCTGACTTCCATCACCCATTCATGCGCAAGCAAAAATGCTGGTTTTTTTTTTTTTAATTTTCCTTGCATGTGATTGGGTATTCTTTGCAAAGTGAAATTTCCCCACAATTACTATGCTCTGGAACAAATTCCCTTTGCAAACTGAATTGCCTATTGCTTTTGGTAAATCATCCAATTAGCCTTTAATTTCTTTGACTATTCTCTGGCTTTCCTGCTTTTTCTGTTTAAGATTTCCAGTAGGAGCACAGACATGCCAAGGCACCATGTTTGGGCAGTGTGAGATCAGCACATCTTGGCCATTTGGCTATCTCTCCTAGACGCCTTTCCTCCTGGCAGCAGCATTTTGGCAGAAAATGACGCTTGATGCTTGTAAAGCATTAATTTTATTGGCCAGAATAATAATTTATTTTGGCCACTGAAATGAATTTAGAGCAAGCACTAAACACGCCTAGTGTTAATACGTGTTTCGATGCGTGTACATGCGTCAAGTGCTTTTTCTGCCAAAACAAAGCTGCTCTTGGACTCACTGGCAGAGTATTCTTTTCTACTTTTAACTGCCTATGTGTGCATGGACATATAGGCTAACATGCAGAGGCATTTAGAGGAAGAAAGAAATTACCAGATGCCCCTAACAGCCGTGTTAGAAAAATTCCAGTGTGCATGAGATCTTAAAGAAGAAGTAAAGTCGAACATGTTTTTTCTATTTGGATAGTGTAAGGGAGGGTTATAACCCCTGACACCTTTTTTTTTTTTTTTTTTTTTTTTTTGCCATCTGTGTCTCATTGGGGAGATTTCACTTCATTTCCTGTCCCATAGTCAAAACAGGAAATGAGAGGAAATTCCTCCAAAGTGTCCCCATTGGAAGATGTCCCCTGTATTCTCGTTCTTGTGACAACCCAGAATTTAGGATTTTCTTTCATGTCCGCTCTCGATGATAATGGTAACCAGATCAAATGTTAGAAGTTCTCAAGATTCAATATTTTGCACTTATTAAACAGATATGAAAAGAAACTTTATTTGTGTAATTAACAGACCAAAAGGGAACTATTATTCATTCTTAGGTCATCTGTTTTTCTAGAGGAACCACTTGATCCCAGTTGCATTTTATATACAGGATTGACTTCTGCCCCCATGTCAGAACTAATCCTCCCTTGAAACTAAGCCACCTTCCCGCCATTCAACAGTCCAGTTCTCTACTGTTTAATGAGTCTTTTGCACTCATCTTTTCAATAGAAGGGGTCATGGCTTAGCTTCAATCATATACATGTTTACAATGTACCCAGCGTGGGAGGGTCTTCCCTGGGACAAAGAAAGTCATTTGTGGATTAAAAAAAGCTATCTGCTGGCACTGAAAGTTTAATTTGATCTTTATTGTGACCTCAAAGGTTTCCTTCAGATAAATACATTAGAAAATGTGTGAGGCTAGAACTTTTAAAGTGACAGCATTACCATACATACAGTATATCCTGTATTTAAAGGAATAAGTAATCTTTAAAGTATGTTACAAAAGCCTAGGCAATGAAGGCAAAGACAAAGGAGTTTAGGACAGGGTGGAGTAGAATGGTAGTTGTGTAAATGGAGAATTTGGGATTAGTAGATGAAAGGAATGACCTACAGCAATGACAGATGGTATCAGTGCTGAGGGTTCATCTTGTCATGGATTTGTTGAAAAGAAATTCTGAATGGGAGTGAAATTTCTGGGTCTATCAATGTGACACATTCCTTTTGAGAAATACTAGTTAGCCTCTGCACAAAGAACTGGCATTTTCCTTGGTATAGTAGCATTCATGATATTTTCAGAAAGACACTAAAGATGGCTATAGATAATAGGTAATGATTGGATGCACAATATAGTCTCTCAAAGTCTTCCAAACTTGTTTCTACCCTAATAGGAGGCCTACTTTACAATGGGGGACAATCTTTCCAACCTACTGGTCTACATAGTTTCTTTGAAAATGCTTGTTTTGAGTTGTGTTTGCCTCATAGACATAAACATTCTGCCCAATTCAGCTATAAGACTGGATCAGAAGACTAATTTAATGTCTAATGTTTTTCTTTAAACATTATTATACAGTCTCACTGACTGTCTCAAAGGCTAACAAGGGTGTAACTCGCTCAAAGCTATGTGAAGATATGACGGCCACAAGTACAGCATTAACACATACAGTTGACCAGTCAAGTGAATATTGAAACATTAACAGAAACCTCTGACACCAGCCTTATCTCTGGGGAGCAGTAGCAATCATCTAGAAAAATTGATCCTGTAGGTCAGGGTGTGGAGTTGTCACTGCTGATTTGATTTTAGGGGTGCATATTCAGGGGCTGTCTCCATTATCTTTGTTTTACAACTGGAACAGGAATGCAGCCAGTGCAGCATCAGGACAATTTATAAGAATATACATATTCCAGATCAGGGGCTTTAACTGGTGGTGAGGGAAAGAAAAGGGTTCCAATATTTATGTTTTGACAGGTTCCTTTTGGTTTTTTCTCTTGGTAATGATTTTTTCTGCTAGTGGTAGGAACATCATAGAATGGGAGCACTGGGAAACTTACTGGTCTTTTATCCCCGCAAACGTGTACAGCTATTAAGTGCTAGTTACTAGTAAACTCTCACAAACAAGTTGTTCCTCAATGGCTGTAAATTTTATGGTTTTTGAAGAGACTATGCCACCAGACAGAGGAGATGCAAAACACAAATGTAGACATTAGCAGTGATGGACAATTCCTAGGCTGCAGCTAACTAGTTTAATCAGTTTCACTCCTGCATACCATGCTATGTAGCTCTTTGTTTCTTTATAAATCTAAAACATATATGTTCCACCACTGGAACATATATTCCAGTGGGGAATAAGAGGGGAATCTTAGCTTAGGTCATGTTGTCTAATTAACTCAACACAGCTGTTCCATTGTAAATGTAACAAGATTCTTTTGTTTCTAAGCAAACCAGAGGTTTTACAATGGTCTCTCTTTTTCATGCAGGGAAGGCCACACTTCACTAGTGAAAGAGATGAAAGAAAGTCTTCCTTCAAAACCTGGAGCTATTGCCCTGTCAGTAGGTGGTGGTGGAATGCTCTGTGGTGTGGTCCAAGGCCTGCGGGAAGTAGGATGGGATGACGTTCCCATCATTGCCATGGAAACCAAAGGCGCTCATAGCTTAAATGCTGCTGTGGAAGCTGGAAAATTAGTGACCTTACCAGAAATATCCAGGTAAGCCATCAACAACCTTAAACTTAAATAAAACCATAGCCTTCTATAAAATAATGTGCTGCACTTAATTAAAAGTCTATTTGCACTTAGTTTTCTTGGTCCCCCTACAAATTTCCACAAATACCTGTTGATCCTGCAGGTGAAGGCCATGTTATTCAGGTTCATGTGATAGAGTGGCAACAATGCTGCAATGCTCTTGAAGTCAGAGCAAAGTTAAGTTGGCCCTGTCATGTAGGCTTTATGCTCCTGCACTATCGTGGGATGAAAAAATTATTGCAGTGAACATGGCTATTAGCATTATCACTGCTGATTCACAAGTCTGTACTGTACCTTTTCATTTGACACCTGACCAAACCTAGTCTTGCCTATTACTTTTTGGCTGACTTCCTTCCTCTGTAAGCTGCAGTGTCTGTGAGGTGAAGTATGCAAGACACAAATGAAGGTTTCAGCACAGTCAGGGAGGGTAAAGGAAGCTTTTTGTTTAATTTACAAATTATGTGCATCTCATAGTAATTGAATTGGGTACTTGTTTTGGCTGTCATACAGGAGCCTTTAGTTGAATGGTAATCAACAAGTGGATTCTCCAGTTTTAGGATTAGCACAGGAACAAGTCCATAAATGATTGATTTTTTGCATGTATCGATTGGCCTGAGATAACACGAATTCAAGCTTTCGTAAGGCAGTGCACAGTGATAATGAAAAGTACAAAGAGTCATAGAAATTATTTGCCCTTAATTGAACTCAGGGAAATATAAATATTCATTTAATGCTATGAGTTTGCCTTTTACTATTTTAAATAAATCATAGGAGTTCCCAATTCTACCAACCTACAAGGCCATTACAGTTCTATTTCATTGCTGTTACATTTTTGTAACAAGGCATATAAAGAGGAATGGGTTGTAAAAATGGTCAATATTAGAGATTGGAGCAAGGAGGAAAAAAGAACTCATGGCAGGCAGATGAGAAGCCAGAAGTCATGGGCAGATAAAGGGTTATTCAACCTCAGGTTATGGAATGACTAATGCTTTAAAAAAAAAATGTGGCTGTAAAAGTAAATCCAATAACTCTAGTCATTGTTTCCTCTTCAGCGTAGCTAAGACTCTGGGAGCTAAAACAGTGGGAGCTCAAACACTGAAAGTAGCTCAAGAACATCCAGTTTTCTCTGAAGTAATCTCTGATCAGGATGCAGTAATGGCCATTGAGAGATTTTTAGGTAAGTTATCACATGTAATTAAATATATTTTTAGAATCTTAATAAAAAGTCATATGGTGTATGGTATTTGACCCTTTTTTGTATTCCTGTAGATGATGAAAAGATGCTTGTGGAGCCAGCATGTGGAGCTGCTCTAGCAGCAGTTTACAGCAATGTTTTGGGGAAATTGCAAAAGGAAGGCAAACTGAGCCAAGATCTCTCCTCTCTAGTTATCATAGTATGTGGTGGAAACAATATCACCCTGAAACAGCTATTCCGGCTCAAAGAGCAGCTGAACATTGAATCCATCAGTGCTGCATAAATCGAGGCAAAGACTACTTAACACTACTAAATTCCCGGATAGACTTCTGTCCTACTGTCAGATTAGAAACGGCATTAAAACTGCTTCTCTGCACAACCAATTAATTCATGTAGCAGCAATTCACATCTCATTTCTGAACCAAATGTGTGTCTGCCTTTGTCACAGGATAGGTAATGAACACTAATCCCTAATCAAAAAGGACAATGTACACCAAGTACAAATAATTTTCAGCAAGGGTTTTGACTTTATATGTTTGGGTCTGACCTCTGGCATCCAGGGGCTCCTATTGCTTTCATAGGGAATATTTTAACATGGATTACAGTTCAGACTTTTATGTTAAGAGCTTCAGGTAAAAAAAAAAAAAAAGCAATATACAGTTGCATGACCACAATGTAAAATATGTGAATTTTCTATCTGCACCAAGACCAAGTCCTCAATATGCACACTAGCTCCCCTACAAAACTCAACAACCAGAATAAGTTATCAACAAAAATTATGCCTTCTTTTTTGGTGGAGGTGTGGGTTTTTCCCCCCTATTAGAGCTTCAGTTCCCATGCTTTCTATAATCCTCTAGTGCAAAGGAAACATGCAAAGGGTGAAAAAGCCAAACAGCAATGCATTTTTTTTCTCCTGTATCTCAGGTACCCCACAATAGGACAGTTTAAATACGGAACACTACTCCACAGAGGCGTTCTACAAAACTTTGATTTTTTTTTTAAAATGTTTAAAGAAGAACAGACTAATGGAAAGCCACTTTAAATGTATCTACCTCTACAAGTGAGTGATTGTATTGTATATACAGTACATTCTTGACACTAAAGTTTTATAGCAGAAATACAACAAAAACTTAAAAAAAAAAAAAAAATGTAATGAAATAACTACTGAATTTATTTGTAATATGCTCAATGTATATGTGACATTAAACCCTTTTACAATAAAGAGTCTAATGTAATTATTTGGGGGTTACTAACAGCAAACTCATCTTGTGCTTAGTGTACGCAAACAAACATGATAGGAGATGCTAAAGTAAATTCTAGTTTTAAGAAGAAAAATCAAAAGTGCCTAGGTCAACGCTGAACAAGTGATCTCAGTTCCTTTGCCTTCATTGACTTTTATAGACAAGGAAAAATGCCATGCCCGTGTACTTGCTAGAAGGTTTCAAAATCAATGTTAAAGCACAAGATCATAATTTCACCTAAAGCTGTGTGTAAACTTTAGGGAGATGAAGTGAATCAATTATAGATGTAGGGTAAAAGAGTTTTGAGAAATCCTGTTTACAAACCTGATTCAGCTGTCCATATGCAACAACAGAATTTTTGACTCTGTGGTAGATGGATATGTTGTACTAAGCCCACTACTACAGTGGGGATCGAAAGTTTGGGCACCCCAGCTAAAAATTTGTATTAATGTGCATAAAGAAGCCAAGGAAAGATGGAAAAATCTCCAAAAGGCATCAAATTACAGATTAGACATTCTTATAATATGTCAACAAAAGTTAGATTTTATTTCCATCATTTACACTTTCAAAATAACAGAGAACAAAAAAAATGGCGTCTGCAAAAGTTTGGGCACCCTGCAGAGTTAATATCTTGTACTGCCCGCTTTGGCAAGTATCACACCTTGTAAACGCTTTTTGTAGCTAGCCAAGAGTCTTTCAATTCTTGTTTGAGGTATCTTTGCCCATTCTTCCTTACAAAAGTCTTCCAGTTCTTTGAGATTTCTGGGCTGTCTGTCACGCACTGCTCTTTTAAGGTCTATCCATAGATTTTCAATTATGTTGAGGTCAGGAGATTGTGAAGGCCATGGCAAAACCTTCAGTTTACGCCTCTTGATGTAATTCCCCGTGGATTTCGAGGTGTGTTTAGATCCTATTATCCATTTGTAGAAGCCATCCTCTCTTTAACTTCAGCTTTTTCACAGATGGCATCAAGTTACCATCCAAAATTTGCTGAAATGTTATTGAATCCATTTTTCCTTCTACTCGTGAGATGTTCCCTGTGCCACTGGCTGCAACACAACCCCAAAGCATGATTGATCCAACCCCATGCTTAACAGTTGGACAGAGGTTCTTTTCATTAAATTCTGTGCCCCTTCTTCTCCAAACGTACCTTTGCTCATTATGGCCAAAAAGTTCAATTTTAACCTCATCGGTCCACAGAACTTGTTTCCAAAATGCATCAAGCTTGTCTATATGTTCATTTGCAAAGTTCAAACGATGATTTTTGTGGTGAGGACGTAGAAGAGGTTTTCTTCTGATGACTCTTCCATGAAGACCATATTTGTACAAGTATCTCTTTATAGCGGAATAGTGTACCACAACTCCAGTGTCTGCCAGATCTTTCTGGAGGGATCGTGCAGTCAAACGGGGTTTTGAATGGTTTTTCTCACAATCCTGCGAGCTGTTCTGTCTGATATTTTTCTTGGTCTTCCAGATCTTGCTTTAACTTCCACTGTTCCTGATGACTGCTATTTCTTAATTACATTCCGAACAGAGGATATTGACATCTGAAAACGCTTTGCTATCTTTTATAGCCTTCTCCAGCTTTGTGAGCGTCAACTATTTTCAGTTTCAGTTTTCTAGACAACTGCTTAGAAGAACCCATGGTGCTGATTGTTGGAGCAAGGTCAGATGAGTCTGGGCATTTAAAACCTTTGAGATTGACATCACCTGGTCTTCCCAGACGATGATTGAGAACAATCCATGACACTGGCAGGTCTCAGCTTGGCAAAGGGGGCAGTGCATGCTATAAATTCTGCAGGGTGCCCAAACTTTGCAGACACCATTTTTTGTTTTCTGTTATTTTGAAAGGGTAAGTGATGGAAATAAAATCTAACTTTTGTTGACATATTATAAGAATGTCTAATCTGTAATTTGATGCCTTTTGGAGATTTTTCCATCTTTCCTTGGCTTCTTTATGCACATTAATACAAATTTTAGCTGGGGTGCCCAAACTTTCGATCCCCACTGTATATGCCCATCATACCTTTTTGTATGATCACATAGTGCTATACAAATGCACAATTACCTGGTTTTAATTTTATTGTAAATCAGAGTTGTGCTGCTGAGGAGGAAACTACATTCAACTTAGAGACCCTGTCAACAGACCATTCATTTCAACAAAAAGAATATACACTATATTGCCAAAAGTATTGGGGCACCTGCCTTTACACACACATGAACAATAATGGCATCCCAGTCTTAGTCCGTAGGGTTAGATATTGAGTTGGCCCACCCTTTGCAGCTATAACAGTTTCAACGTGTCTGGGAAGGCTGTCCACAAGGTTTAGGAGTGTCTATGGGAATGTTTGACCATTCTTCCAGCAGAGCATTTGTCAGGCACTGATGTCGGACGAGAAGGCCTGGCTCGTAGTCTCCATTCCAATTCATCCCAAAGGTGTTCTATCGGGTTGAGGTCAGAACTCTGTGCAGCCCAGTCAAGTTCCTCCACCCCAAACTCACTCATCCATGTCTTTATGGACCTTGCTTTGTGCAGTCATGTTGGAACAGGAAGGGGCCATTCCCAAACTGTTCCCACAAAGTTGGGAGCATGAAATTGTCCAAAACGTCTTGGTATTCTGACTCTTTACGAGTACCCTTCACGGGAACTAAGGGGCCAAGCCCAACCCCTGAAAAAACAACCCCACACCATTATCCCACCACCACCAAACTTTACACTTGGCACAACGCAGTTAGGCAAGTACCAGTGATGTAAAGCTTGGATGCAGCTGCTCAGCAATGGAAAACCATTCCTCGAAGCGCACCCTATGCACTGTTGTGCTAATCTGAAGGCCACATGATGTTTGGAGGTCTTTAGCTATTGACTCTGCAGACTGTTGGCAACTTCATGCTTCAACATGCACTGACACCTCTGTAATTTTTCACGGCGGAGTTGCTGTTGTTCGCAGTTGCTTCCACTTTGTTATAATACCACCATCAGTTGACTGTGAAATATTTAGTAGCAAGGAAATTTCACAGATAGACTTATTGCACAGATGACAACCTATCACGGTACCCACGCTTGAATTCACTGAGCTCTTGTGAGCGACCCATTCTTTTGCAAATGTTTATAGAAGCAGTCTGCATGGCTAGGTACTTCATTTTATACACCTGTGGCCATGGAGGTGATTGGAACACCTGAATCCAATGATTTGGAGGGGTGCCCAATACTTTGGGTAATATAGTGCATTTACAGTTAACTTTTATGATGTTTACCTGTAAAAGCCTACCTTGCATATACTTCCAAAAAGCCCCAAGACTTCTGGGGCTGCTGTTATTTTGGATGTGATTTCAGCTGCTCCACCACTCAGATATATTTTATAGTATTTTCCTCCCTCCCAAGGCTACATAAAAGTTTATGCAGGGAGGAGCTTGGCTAGTACAGACAGTAGTTAGAACGCCCAGAAGAGGAGGGCTACAATAAAGGAGGGGTCTTTTTTTTTTTTTTATTATTATTATTATAATATGTGTGGTGAGTTTCCATAACCTTGATCTATACTCAAAAAAAAAAAAAAAAAAAAAAAAAAAAAAAATAGTAGCACTGAACCCTCCTTAGCATAGTAAGAAACATTTATTGAACAATTGATATGGCACACTTACATGGAGGATTCTTGACATTCAACATAAAGATTGATGTGGACACTGCAAAAACCGTTAATGTGCATTCCCTATCCTTTGCTCCCCAAACCAGGATAGGGAACCCAATTTGACAGCTGTCAAAAAGCAACCTATGCCCAGCATCCTACAGTGCTATCCACTGCCTCATGGCAACCCCTATGCAATACTGAAAGGAACGCGTGGTACAGGGGGCAGTAACATGTTACTGCCTGCTCCTTTTTAGTATCGTGCAGGAGTTGCCACAAGGCAACACTGTAGGACACTGGTCATTGGCGGCTTTTTAACAGCTGTCAAATCGGGCTGCCTGTGCTGACTTGGGAAGGAAAAAGCTACTGATGCATATTAACAGCTTTGCAGTGTTCATATCCAATCCTTATGCTGAATG